CTTTCTTTCTTTCTTTCTTTCTTTCTTTCTTTCTTTCTTTCTTTCTTCTTTTTTAATTACTCTATACAAACATTTATTCTATCATTCCTTTGGTCCCTAATATTTGGCAGAAATTGATATCTCATCATTAACATTTGTAGTATATTTTAATCATTTGCATTGTTTTTCCAAAGTAACTTTAGGAATATTGTACACACATACTTTTTGTAATTTTTTTATGACATATCGGTATTGCAAATATAACAAGTGTGGACAATATTCACTTTTATGAATTCTCTAACTTTAAACAAATTATTACATTTATTTTTTCTGTGTAAATGTGTGTGTGTGTGCATGCATTTGGGTACACACTTCCCTGGCGATGGTATGGAAGTCACGGGCCATTTCTGAGAGCTGGTTTTTCCCTTCAACGGTGAGAACCTCAGACATCAAACTCAGGCTGTCTGGCTTCAGGACAAGTAGCTTTATCTGTTGAACCATCTCACCAATCCTCCTCCTAGATTTTAAATAACTGATGGGATTGCTCAAACAAACAAACAAACAAACAAGAAATGTTCTTGGTGCTTTCTTTTTCTACTGCTATAAGGGTTCCTTATGATTCCTCCATTTTATAACAAAAATTTTATTGAAAATTTTTATCTATTTTTCTTTATGAGGTATATTTTAAAATTTTAGTTCTGCTGATAATAATCTCCATATTTTAAATAAAATTATTTGTAGACCATAATTTAATAGTCTTTAAAGTTCTATTATATTTCATCCATTCATTGGTTTCTCAATCTTTTGTAAATACTTGTTGACATCAGTAGGATTATAATATCTTGGTCAATTCTGAAAAGATAAGTATGAATTAAATATGTGCTTTAAAAGTTGTGTTATTTTGTTTGTGCTAAATGATAAAGTAGGTGGGTTCCCATAATAAATTTTACCTCAAGCTTATTATTATTTAAATTTGTTTTTTTATAATTTATTCACTTTATACCCCAATTGTAGACCCCTCTTCTCCTGGCCCCATACTTTCCCCCTTTTCACCACATCCTCCTCTCCTAGTCCTCAGAAAGGGGGAGCCCTCCTCCCCTACCATCTGACCCCAGACTATCAAGTCTCATCAGGACTGCCTGCATCCTCTTCCTCTGTGGCCTGGCAAGGCTGCCCTGTCAGGGAGATGTGATCAAAAAGCAGGCAACAGAGTCCATGTCAGAGACAGCCCCTACTCCCCTTCCTAGGGAACCCACATGGACACTGAGATGCCTATTGGCTACATTTTAGCAGGGGGTCTAGGTCCTCTCCATGCGTGGTCCTTGGCTGGTGCATCATTCTCTGCAGCCCCATCCTGGGCTCTGATTTGTTAGTTTTGTTGGTCTCCTTGTGGAGCTCCTGTCCCCTCTCTGGGTCCTTCTATCTCCCTACTCTTCCAAAGGACTCACTGAATTTCACCTTATAGCAACCGTGAAGGATATTTATTTGTCTTAAAGAAAAAGATGAGTTTTGTTGAGGAAGGTAAGTCTGTAAGTAAATTTGCTGGAACATAAACTTTAAAATCCAAGATGGAAATAAGCCTTCTAAGAGCAAAGACCACCCACGGCTCAGGTGGGGGCCATTTGTCTTTTCCTCTGTGAAAACTATCATCATTATCTTTAAAGATGGATGCACTTGACATTTAATCATGTTTGGCTCTAAGATTTTATCATGGCTCAGGAAGCGGTCTCTGAGACTACCCTTATAAACATACTTGTGTTGTATTAGTTTTTTGCATGCAAAAATGTTGTCTTGAGCAATATCTAATTACATTCCAGTGAAAAATGGGAAAGAGGTAGAAAAATTGGATAAGGAACAATTTGATACATCAGATTTCCCTAGACATGAAGTATCCTCCTGTGATGTCTGGAAGTTTAGTCTAAGAAGGAATTTTAACAAATGCTACAGGCATATCCACATTAGATCAGAGAGGGAAGAGGGCGGACTTTCCTAAAGGGTGGGAGTGAATTTAGCGTTGGCGCTTTTGTGTGATTCCCAGCAGGATTCTATGACAGCAGGGGCTGTTACAACTGCACCCACATTCTCACAGTGTGTGTACCCTACCTGAAACGACAATTTTCTAGACATAATTTTTTATTTCTCTTCCATGAGTTATAGAATGTTTGCATGGACTGTTCTAAGAACTAATTGTCATAGATAGGGTAAGTTACTTACAAACACGATCAAAAGAGCCTGGACACCATAGGCCTTTAAATAATCCCACTTTTTAAATGGATGTCTAGCTTTAGAGAGGACATTAATGTTTTTCTAAATTGGATTTCTTAGAATAAATAGGTTGTAGGTGTACTTTTCAAAAACTATTTTATTTATGTTTCTTTAGCCTCTACCTCCTTTCCACCCCAGTCCCTTCTAACACCTCAACACGTGGTAGGAGAGAAAGGAGGTTAGTGGGGATAGGAGGCATAGTTTTTCTGAGCTATTTCCTGCTGGCTAGGGACTTCGGGCTCCTTAGGGCAACTCCAATCTTCTTTTCAGGAGATCTCTGAGTACTCGTCAAACTGCAACAACAGCCACCAGGAGAAGAGAGGTGAGCACCAGCAGCCTTCTTTTTTCTCAGATCTTCCCCGACACTCTCTGGATTCTGGCATTTATTCCCTCTCAGAATCCTCAGAATTAAACTATCTTCAGCTGGGAAAGCGCCCTTCTCAGAGCTCCCATGAGGCAAATAGTTTGCTGCTGTGAACAATCTGAAACAGTCCCATATCCTACACCTGGGATCAAAACAAAACCATGTTTACATCCACAACAATTGAATCAGGACAATAAAATATTTAAACTAAATATATACATCTCATCATTTTAAATTAAGTATATAAATAAAACATGCATCTATTACATTAGGTCATAATGTAATTACATAATGTAATTTCATATGTAAGAAGTGTTCATGTATGAAAGACTTTCTTTCTAAACACATTAGCTGAAGAAGCAAGAAGCACATTAGCAAAACCAAATTTAAAAGTTGGGGTGTGATATCACATTCCTGTTATTTTTATTGCTTATATGGTCGCCACAAGATAATGGTTGAACAAGGTTCTGATTGTCTGTAATAGCCCATGTGTCTGTACTGAGATAGAACAAATAAATCTTTTTATGGAATTTGAAGGATGACTTGTTAACAAATAGAATGTGCCACCTACCAGAGATGATCTTTTTTCATCACATGTGAGTAATACAGATAACAGGATGAGAATAATGAAACTGCAAAAATTTTCTAAATACAATCATCAAGAGTAAACATTTTTTTCTGATAAACACTTTGCTAATCTAAACTAACAATATTAACCTTTTTCCTCTTAGCAAGAGATGTCCCAGGATCTGACTGATTCCAACAGTTCTAGCTTCCAAGTGTCTGAGTTCGTTCTGATGGGATTTCCAGGCATCCACAGCTGGCAGCACTGGCTCTCCCTGCCCCTGGCTCTGCTCTATATCTTGGCCCTCACAGCCAACACACTTATCATTACTGTAATCTACCAGGAAGTGTCACTACACCAGCCTATGTACTATTTCCTGGGCATCCTGGCTATAGTAGACATGGGCTTGGCAACCACCATCATGCCTAAGATTTTAGCCATCTTATGGTTCAATGCTAAGGCCATCAGTTTCAACGAGTGCTTTGCTCAAATGTACGCCATCCATGTTTTTGTTGCCATGGAGTCAGGTATCTTTGTCTGCATGGCCGTAGATAGGTATGTGGCGATTTGCAGACCACTGAGGTACTCTTCAGTTGTTACTGACTCTTTTGTGGTCAAAGCAACTGTGTTTATGGCCCTCAGAAATTGTGTGGCTCCCTTGTCAGTACCTGTGTTGGCTGCCCAGAGAAATTACTGTTCCAGGAATAAAATCGAACACTGCCTGTGCTCTAACCTAGGGGTCACTAGTCTTTCCTGTGACGACAGGAAAATCAACAGCATCAACCAGCTGCTCCTGGCTTGGGCAGTCATGGGAAGTGACCTGGGTTTGATTGTGATTTCATATGCTTTGATTCTTCGGTCTGTGTTGAAGCTGAACTCTGCAGAAGCTGCATCTAAGGCCTTAAGTACCTGCACTTCTCACCTCATCTTAATCCTTTTCTTCTACACAGTCATCATTGTCCTGTCCATCACTCATAGTGCAGGAATGAAAATTCCTCTTATCCCAGTTTTGCTGAATGTGCTGCACAATGTAATTCCCCCTGCTCTGAACCCCATGGTGTATGCACTCAAGAACAAAGAGCTAAAACAAAGCTTATACAGAGTGACTGGCCTCTGTCTTAAGAGTAACTATGAACGAGAACGCGCTCTCTTTCTTTCTCTACATTTACCCTTTGTATCTCCGATGACAACAAGTGATAAAGTAAATACTATAGACCCTGGGAGAGCTGTGATTTAATGTCAGGAATCAACTGAAATTTAGAAGAAGAAAAAGTCAAAACATTGCTTGATGTATCCAGGTTTGAAAATCTTCAGGACAGAGAGTAACATCATGTTGACATTTCTGTTCCAGAATCTAAGGGGAGGATTTTCAGGGTGTATATTTCAGTAGTTTGTGCTACTGGCTAGAACAGCGAGACAATTTTGAGTATATTGGCCAAGATCTGTGAAATTATCTATTTTAAATCAGAGAACTTATTCCTTCTATTTAATTTAATTAGAAAAAAAAAAAACCTGAGTTACTTCTACCATTTTACTTCCTTGTGATTTTTTAGGCTGCATCTTCTTTACTGAAAAAAGGTGGCTTGAATTTTCTCTAAAAATATATGTATTCCCAGAAGTTAAACACCAGCAAACAAAGTAATCCAATCAAAAAATGCAGTACAGAGCTAAACAGAGAATTCTCAATGGAGGGATATGGAATGCTAGAGAAACACTTAAAGAAATGCTCAGCCTCCTTTGTCATCAGGAAGGTGCAAATGATTGCTTGTGATAAAATGGCCATATTTAACAACCCTGAGATTTCACCTTACACCCATCAGAATAGCTAAGATAAAAAACTCAAGTGACAACACATGCTGGAGAGGATGTGGAGAAACGGGAACCCTCCTCCATTGCTGGTGGGAATGTAAACTTGTACAACCACTTTGGAAATCAATCTGACACTTTCTCAAACAATTAGGAATAGCGCTTCCTTGAGATCCAGCTATACCACTCCTAGGCATATATCCAAAATATGTTCAAGTATACAACAAGGACATTTGCTCAACCATGTTTGTAGCAGCTTTATTTTTAATAGCCAGAAGCTGGAAATAGCCCAGATGCCTTTCAGTTGAGGAATGGATACAGAAATTGTGGTACATCTACACAATGGAATATTACTTAGCAATAAAAAACAAGGAAATAATGAAATTTGCAGGGAAATGCTAGGAACTAGAGAAGATCACTCTGAGTGAGGTATCCCAGAAGCAGAAAGACACACATAGTATATATTCACTTATTAGTAGATATTAGACATATATTGTAGGATAAACATACTAAAATCTGTACAACTAAAGAAGGTAATCAGGAAGGAGGACCCTGGGTAAGATGCTTAATCCTCACTCAGAAAGGCAAACGGACGGACTTTGGAAAAGTGAGAAAACAGGGAACAGCACAGGAGCCTACCATAGAAGGCCTCTGAAAGACTCTATCCAGCAGGGTATCATAGCAGATGCTGAGGCTCATAGCCAAACTTTGGGCAGAGTACAGGGAATCTTATGAAAGAAGGGGGAGATAGAAATACCTGGAGGGGACAGGAGCTCCACAAGGAGATCAACAGGGGTCTTTTTTGAGAGATATTCCAACCAAGGACCATGCATGGATATAACCTAGAACCCCTGCACAGATGTAGCCCATGGCAGCTCAGTGTCCAAGTGGGTTCCCTAATAAGGGAAACAGGGGCTGTCTCTGACATGAACTCAGTGGCTGGCTCTTTGATTACCCAGAGGATGACAATGCAGCCAGTTCTCATGAGACCTGATAGGCTAAGACTAGTGGACTTGGGGAGGGGCATGGGAGGAGATAAGAGAGGGAGGGTGGGATTGGGAGGGGATATAGGAGGGGGCTACAGCTGGGAATCAAAGTGAATAAACTGTAATTAATAATATAAATAAATTTAAAAATATTCATTATCTTAAAAATTGAAAAGAAATGATTTAAAGTATAACGCTTTAAGTAGTGAATAAATTTTATTAACAGCATTATATTACAGTGGAAGGGCTTAACATAACTATTTGTTTACAAGAAATGTCTGAGTAGATAAATGTTTTACATAATCTTGTAGTGACATTGTAATGTTTTCCAATTTCTCTGTACATAGTTCAAGCTAAATCTTATTAAATACTTTTTTTTTTAAACCAGAAAAATAAGTCTTGCAACATGTTCACGTTATCACTCACTAAAGAGGATATCCAATAAAACTACAGCAGCCTACCAACTGCAGCTTTGGGATGGCTACTCACAGATACACAGGAAGAAAAAAAAGAAAAGAAAAGAAAAGTATTCTTTTCTACACTGTTGTTGATATGTGGGCAAAATCTTGTATTCACTCAAGAGTTTAAATGAATATAGTTGTCACAAGACACAAAAACATTAACTACTATCAATATACATGCATCATGACTCAAACTAAAGATTTGAACAAAAACTTGCGTGTCAATATCTTTAGTATCTCCTGTTAAGAAGTAAGCACAGTATATGCCCTTTAAATGCTGATGTGGACACATGAAATAAAGTTTATTCTGCAGTGGACTAGGGGAGGGACATAGGGGAGAAGATGGAGGGAGCATGGGATTGGGAGGAGACCAGGTCGGGGCCACAGCCAGGGTACAAATTGAATAAATTGTAATAAATGATAATTTAAAAAGTTTATTCTGGTAAGACTTAAGGGGAAGGGGCTAGTGGGATGGCTTAGTGGGTAAAGATTGTGCCGAGCCTGAGGACCTGAGTTTGATCACCAGGAGGCACATGGTGGAAGTAAAGAAATGCCTTAGACAAGTTGTCCTAGGACCTCCCCTTCCACACATAAGGAAATGTACTTTTCCTTACAAAAGTAACCCTGTGATAATAGTATTGGTTTCATTACCATCATCATTTTACTAACTGATGCTGTATGCAATAGCATTGTGATGTAAACTTTAAAATGGAAAATGAAATTGATATTTTAAAATTTTGGCTTATTTAAGGAATGAAAGAAATGCTAAATTTAGCAAAAAAACTTACTATTGTTAAAAATTCAAGTTAATAGAAAGCGTAAACGTCAGAATATGACGCACAGTGAAAACCTGCGAAGAACTAAAGTCCTGGGATGGCTGGAGCTCGGTTACCCTTGACATTACGACGAAGGAAGGGAGCGGCACGAGGCTGTCGAGTGTACAAAAGTGTGTGTCCCAAACAGGCGATGCGCAGTATCACAAGGTCAATCGTTTGTTGCCAGGAAGTGGATGCTGAGCACGATAGTGAGAGAGGCTGACCATCAGCCATAGAGCTTCCTTCTGGGAATTCCTCTGCGCCACCCAGGAAGGACATAGTGGCTGCTTGCTTGGAAGTATGAACTAGGTCATCTGCTTTCAAACCACATAAAAAGATGAGCTTTAGCATTAGCATGATTTTTATCTCAATAAAAATGGGAATGTGTAATAAATTATTTTCTATATAAGTATTTTTTCTAATTTCCTGTAAAAGTAAAACAGATTTCCATGAATTAGACTGTGATTATAGGACTGTGTACATAATCAATACACTTTTATTCATAAAAGGTAACAGAGATTAACCCTATTATAAATCTCTGATATATTATGATGAGTGATAATAATGAAATTTAATTTATAAAAGTGTTGAATGTTCTGTCAGAAACATACATAGTGATTACATATTTAAAATGCATTTTAAGACTTGAAACAGAAAAGCAGGTAGCTTGAGGATCTTCACCTCTTCTCCACTCTTCCAAATCCCCAGTTTCACCCCTAACTCTGTAATAGACCAGCTGCTACCGCCTTCCTTTCCTCCCTGCCCCACCTCCCAGCGACAGTGGATCAGACAGTTCTCCCCCTCCAACCTTTCTTTCCTAACATTGCTTTATACCAGGCCTCAATTCAGCAGGCATTCACTAAGAACCTGCCAGCCATGCTTGCGAGACAAGCAGGTAGGCCAGACAAGCAGGTAGGCCAGCTTCAGATCTTCACTCTCCCTCTTCTCAGTATCTAACCTCCCAGTCTTCTTCCCATCTCTGTAGGAGACCACCTGTTATGGCCTCTCCCCACTCTCTGCTCCCATTCCTAAGGGACCAAGCAGATCCTGGTATAACACCTTGCTTTCCTCCTTCCCGTGGACCTTCGCAGTCTTTCCCCTGGGCTGATCCCCATTTTTAAATGTCAACTCCTGATAGCTAAAACACATTTTAGCTGGAAGCTCTGGTGGACACACTCAGTAGAATCCCAGAAGAATTTGACACCAGGCAACACAGCCATCACATCCTCCTAAGGACCAGAGAAGGCAACAGAAATAAAAAATAAACACTCATCTAACAAAGATAATACCAAATATGAGCACCTGTAATTACAATATTTCCAGACCCATATTTGTAGATACTAGTATGAAAACCCCAAACCAGCCAGTGCACAATGCTTACTAGAGCACAGCAACCCTACCACAGTAGGTCCTAAGCACTGCAATAGGGCACAGCACAAGACAGAGACCTTGACATGGTAATTATGGCTATGACAGAGGACCTTAAAAAGGAAATGAATTAATCCCCTACATAAACACATGAAAACACAAACTGTGGAAAAAATGAATAAAGCAGTTCAAGACTTAAAAGTAGAAGTACAACAACACCCCCAAACTGAGGGAAATCTGGAAATGAAAGATTTAGAAAATCAAACAGGAGCCTCAGAGGCAGACCTCATCCACAGAGTAGAAGAGACGGAAGAGAGAATCTCGGCACACTGAAGACACAATGGAAGAAATAAATACCCCAGTCAAAGAAAACGTTAAATCTAAAATTTTCCTGGGACTAAATATCCAGGATATCTGGAACACTGTGAAAAGACCAAATGTAAGAATAATACGCCGAGAGGATGGAGAAGAAATTCAATCAAAGGTAAGGAATTTTTTCTATATTTGAATCCAAGTTTTATTAATATAAGTGTATTTATAGTAAAAATTATAAAATTTAGCCACATTCATGATGAATATCCTAAGTACAGTTGATATCCTAAGGAATCTAGCCACTGCAGTGAATCTGATTCAGAAAGACATGTCTGAACACAGAGGCCACTGAACATATCAACACTAATGGGGGATCTGGCTGCTACTTTGCTCCCACACTCTGGCCATATTGATTTTTTGGAGGGGGCAGGAATTGTAATACTATTTACATGTGTAATATCCAGAAAAGTAATTTGATCACCCTAAGGC